AGATGTTTCCTTTGCTCTAAAGATCAACAAATATTAAAACCAGCTCATACCAGAGTTTAACAAGATATGAACAGACCTGTTACACATTATTTTGTAACTTCATCGAATAATACGCAAGTAGAAACATAGTTGATAACATAAAGTAATTTTGAAATAACAAAATATGTTGTTTGTTTCATGGGATTTGATCCTATATTCTATACACTTATGGAGATAAATGGAGTACATGAAGAACAAACCCACCTTTGAAGGGTGATTGACAAGCTTTATCTCATAGCATGAGATTTAAAACATCATTCCAAATTTGTTGTTTTGACGTTTTATGCAATAAAAAATGTTCCTATTTTGTTTTGTAATTAAAGGTAAAATTATATACACCATAAGGAGCAGAATTCTTTATACATCTTTATATTTTAGCCATGTGTTTTCACTAGGGATGTCAACGAGTACTCGAGTACTCGAGTATCGCTCGGTAGTACCGAGTATCGAGTACCAAAATGATACTCGACTAATCGGTTTCCTGTTAGAATGATGTTGCTTTCTTAATTTTAAACAAAAAAATATTTTATTGAGAGCGCCTCCAGGGAAATTATATATTAATCAAAGTTAATGAAAATTAAAATACTATTCAAATGTTTGCGTTTAACTGTCATTAAAAATTCCTTCAAACAGAGGTACATGTATGATATATGAACAAGAGTATTTTTCAAAGGCTTACACGTTTAGCTTATCTTAGTCACTCCCCCACCTCTGTACGTCAGAGCATGCATTTTAATCAGCATGACTGTTAATTACCTAACAAATCTGAGAAATCGCTACATCCAAGAAAAGGTTGACAAGATAAATTTTTTAAATAAGAACAAATTCGTTGCACCCTGTGTCGACCCTAGGAAAATGATAAATGGCATCAGTAAGTTCTAACCACAACCCCTTTGTTGATCATTAAATGTGTTTTTTTACGGTTTACAAATACTGTTGCTTGAGTAATAATTTTTTTATAGATATTAATTAATTACTTGATAAGATTATTACCAGCTAACATAATTAGTGCATGTAGCAAATGAGCTATTAATTATGGTATAAAATTCCTTGGACTGTCATCTAGCTTTAGGTAATAATGTTGAGGGTTTTACGATCATAAGACAACAACCCACAATACATAAATGGTATAATTTTGTGTTTCCATTTTGTACATGTAAATGTTTTTACCGAGCGAGTACTCGAGTATCACTCGATAAATCCAACGAGTAATCGATTAGTAAATCTTCACCGAGTTGATATCCCTAGTTTTCACATACACATTATTTTGTAATTTGGTATTTCTGATTTTCTCTTTGGAATTTAAAGAAAGACTATTTTAATATGCAATTTTTTATCGAACTCTTACATATGAATTTTCACAGACATATATAGCAGGACCATTGTGATCTTGTTGAAAATTGAGCTGCTTTATCTGTGGGTACATTCATGATGCAATTTATGATTCATGATATAAAAATAAGAAGATGTGGTATTATTGCCAAAGAGACAACTCTCCACAAGAGACCAAATGACACAGAAATTAACAACTATTGGTCACCGTACGGTCTTCAACAATGAGTAAAACCCATACCGCATAGTCAGATATAAAAAGCCCCAAAATGACAAATGTAAAACAATTCAAACGAATAAACTAACAGCCTGATGATGTTCTTTTTTACCCTAGAAGAGAGGGGAAGATATGAAAGGGACATTCAAACTCATAAGTCGAAAAATTAACTAAAATGCCATGGCTAAAAACAAAAAGCAACAAAAAGATGAACAACAATACACAAAACAAAAATCACAACATAGAAAACTAAAGACTGAGCAACTAAAACCCCACCATAAAAGAGGGGTGATAATAATAATAATTATAAAATACAATATTTATAGAGCACATTATAGAATAACAACAACTACTCTCAGCACTTCACAAAAAATAAAATACAAATACAAAAAAGAACAAAAAGACATAAAACACAATACAAAGCACTAACTAATACATTTGTATGAATCAAACGAGCAGTTAAAAAAAAATTGCATGTACCCTAAAATATACAAAACAGTCTAAAATTAATGCAGTCAGTTAAAAGTACAAATGCATATATATATATATAAAAAAAAAAAAAAAAAAAAAAATATACCAGAAATCCTTAAAAGCAGTGAATCTTGAGTTATTTTTTTAAAAACATTTAAAGAATTTACATCCCGTAAGGGCGATGGTAAACTGTTCCATTTTTGAGTGATGTTTGATACAATTTAGAATCTTTATTTATGTCTTAATGAAAGATCAAGATAAACTCGTATTCAACCTTTATTATCCATGTTATGAATGAGCAAAATATGAAATTACATTGAAGAAATGATTTTTTAACCAGATATTTACAAGAGGATCAGTTGAAAGGTCCCAGTAAAATAGAGGCATACATAACAGCTCTGTCAAATGGATGTAAACGTGTAGAATGTAAGTAGTTAATCTGAATAAAAGGAACATTGGTTTGAGGTCAATGAAACAGCAACCAAACAACACAAAAAAAAACCTAACAAAAAAGACATATTCTGACCATGTGCTTCTAGGTATGATGAGCTTGTAATTTACCATGATAAAGTCACATGAGAAGTGTCAGCTCATTTAAGATGTAATTTAATACTATTGCAACATAGATGCATTATCTTTTTTTAGTGAAGTGTCAGCTCATTAAAGTAGTAATTTAATATCATTGCAACATAGATACTTTTTTTAGTGAAGTGTTTATAGACTGATAATGAGGTATTTTATTATGATAACACATTTAATTATTACTATGGCAACATAAATGTATGATTTTATTCTTCTTCAGTGGACTGTTTGGTCCTCATGAAGAGCCTGTTAATTACCATGGTTACCAGTATATATTTATTGGTTACCTTAAATGGCAACATAAATATATGATATTATTCTTCTTCAGCAAATGTTTAAATGGTCCTTATGAACAATCAGTTATTTACCATGGTTACACATTTATTGATTACTATGGCAACAGAAATATATGATTTTATTCTTTTTTCAGTGGACTTTTAGGATGGTCCTGACTATGATCCTGTTATTTACCATGGTTACACATTAACATCTAAAATTCTCTTCCATGATGTCATCACAGCAATCTGAGAATATGCATTCCAAGCCTCACCGTAAGTTGAATACCGTATATCAGGTTTTTTTCGCATGTTTTTTAATTTTCGCTTTATTCGCGGCACCAAAAGAAACGTGAAAATTTAACCCAGCGTAAATTTCCCTACATATTCCAAGATTTATGGTTGTTTGAAAGACTGTTAATTATCGAGTCTTTTGTGTTGTTCGACAGATCACAAGAATATGCATACTTAGTTAAGATCACACCTTTTGACAACACAGCAATCATTGACTTGTTAAAAATGTTAATTAGCGACGTTCCATTGATTAGTGTCATAACCCGAACATTTTGCATGTAATGTAAAAATAAAATAAATCACATTTACACGGATATTTGTATACCTGTAATGATCAAAACCTTCAACTTTTATCATACTCCAATGTAAATATTTTACGTTCCTTGAAAGTGTATTTTCGTCTGTAGTACTCATATTTATTTGATATCGATAAATTGTTAGTTAATTAAGTTTATGTTGTTTACAACTTTAACAATACGATACAGTTATTTTTTCGCGTGTATTTTCCCATTCAGCAAAAATTATACACAGTGAAAATTTAACCTGCCCATTTTGCCATCAAATCTCGAAAAAAAGCCGATATATGGTATCTTTGTTTCCATGGTAACACATCTACAACTTATATTTTCTTCTTGTGAAATATAGCTTATAAAAATTTTTTTTTTATCATAAACTTTTTCCCCACAAGTCAATTACAATTCAATGTTTACAGAGAAATTAACAAAATTGACATAGGATGTTGAATTTTTTGGTGAAATTTCAGAATCTTAATGTGTGTATAAAAAGATGCAGAATTATAGCAGAAAACTTTCAAATTTTATTTATTAAAGTTACTATGACACCTTAACTAGGGTTCTTAATGGGAAATTTGAGGTAAATTCCTTGAATGTTTTACAGGCATCATCAGGATTTGATGGGATCTTATGTAGTATCTGTCAAAGATGATTATAGATTTGTTCCATATATTGTAAATGTAATCTTATTCTCATTTACCTCAGTAATGATTGAATTATGACTAAATGGGCCGTAGCATTGGACTTACAAATGACATGAGCATCACGAAAAGTGCCACCATTGTTGCTGATACCTCTTATCCTTTCAGAGTAACTGAGTACAATGTTGTATATTAGAATTTTGGTCCTTAATGCTCTTCAACTTCGTTCATTAAGGATGTTCACTCCTCTATTTCAAAATAACAAGGTTTTTAAACGACTGTTATAGATTGATAGAATATGAATAAGGGAACCTAAAAATTAGAAAAAAATGATAGGTCAGTGTTCTAGTTTTTGAGATATAATCAATTGAAAATTTGGCGGGAAATGGTTCTCTCTAGATTTTTCATATATTTAACATTGACACCTTTTTCCTTTCAAAAGCTATGAAAAAATAACATGGATTTTATAAAATTTTCAAAAAGGACTTTTAAAACTATATGCAATAAAATTATGAAAAGAAAAGTAGGGGTCAGTGGGCAAAATTTCTATTGGCACTACATGTATAAAACTAGAGGATTTCGAATATCTGACAAAAAGTCAAAAACAAGCGAACATCCTTAATTTGCCTTTTAAAATTTTTTGATTCAAGAGCCACTGATGTGTCTTTTGTAGATGAAATGTTCCTCTGGCATACAAAATTTTAATCCTTGTATCTATAACAAGTTTGTTTATAATGGGGTTCTTTTTGTTTAATTAATCTTATTAAATAATCTGTGTTTTTCCATATATTCACAGGTATTCTGTCATTCTATCAACAGATAATCATTGTTCTGTCAAACAACAAGCTGTTATGGTTAACAAAGTAAATGCCATCTTTGGAGGTAAGTAGGTCACTGTGACTGTATACATTAACATTAAACAGTTCACTATAACTTGAATTAATGTTGATTGAATTTCTGTATTTTAGTTGTTGTATTCCTATAACATATTTTTTTAGTTATTGCTTGGTGCTGGGTTGAATAATTTAATGTACATTTTGGTGAACAGATTTTCATATTAAAAAATGAAAGTTTAATTCTTCACAGACTGATTCTTATTGAAAACTTTTTTACTTTTTACAAAGCTAATTGATAACTTTTTATGCCCCCGCCGTAGCGGTGGGGGCATTAAGTTTTACCCTTATCTGTCTGTACGTCCCAAAATTGGTTTCCGTTCTCTAACTTGAGTTTGCCTCAACCTAATGTTATGAAACTTATACACAATGCTTATTATCACAAAACACATATCAAGTTTGAATTTTGGTGGCGTCACTTTAACCGTTCTAGAGTTATGCCCCTTTATAAATGGAAAAATTGCAAAAATTTTTAGTTTCCGTTCTCTAACTTAAGTTTGCCTCAACCAAATGTTATGAAACTTATACACAATGCTTATTACCACAAAACACAGATCAAGTTTGAATTTTGGTGGCGTCACTTTAACCGTTCTAGAGTTATGTCCTTTAATAAATGGAAAAATTGCAAAATTTTTATTTTCTTCTAAATATCAAAGTAATTTTTAAAATTGGAGTTAACTTCCTTTGTCCAGGATTATAGTTGAATCAATACAATCAATGCTTTAAACAATGCAATGTTTAATTTTGACTTCCACTGATAAAACACAGATCAAGTTGAATTTGGGTAGTGTCACTTTAACCATTATTCAGTTATGCCCCTTTATAAATCGAAAGATTGCAAAATTTTTAGTTTCCATTCTGTAACTTAAGTTTGCCCCAACCAAACATTATGAAACCTAAGATTAAGTACAAATTTTTTGTTTCCGTTTTCTAACTTTATTTACTTTGTACAAATCTTTTTGATAATTTTTGACTTTTTAAAATGAATTTTGTTCAAAAGTTGATGTTTACTACACAGGAATGAAAATTATACTTAGAAGATTCACAAAGTAACAAATTTTACAAATCTTTTGTTTGTGACACTATATCTATCTCCTGTTTGTTTACAGATCTCCCATATGCCCCTGAAGAGCCTCCTGCAACCATCCCATCTCCAAGTGATCTAATGGGCAAAATTATTCTCAAGGTAAACATATATATATGTTATTGCATATTGTAATTTTTCCCTGTTTCCTTTGAAAATGTTTTTTTAAATATAAATTAGATACTTTTTTTTTTTTATTCACTTACAAGCATATAGACAAAGAAGAATTGAGTAAAAACTGGGTTGTGTAGAAGAATAAAGGAAAAGTTTATTATATTTAAAGTTTTATATTCACGAAGTATTAATCCTTCATATTTGCATGGACACAGCTGATTGACCATAATAGCTTAGTCTTGTTCAGTTGAATATGCCATGAGCCATCTTAAAAAAAGGTTATGTCTTCTGTGGCACAAACTTTTATAAAAGCTAGAATTCCATGCAAAATTTACTTTTTTTAGTATTTTATATACTACTAATGTGGCTGTCTGAGGACTTAGAATGGTTGAAGAGAGATAACTCTAAATTAGAATGGTTGAAGAGAGATAACTCTAATTTTATATTTGACTTGTGCTGAATGGCTTTTAGATCCCACAATTAGTATTTACATTTTAAGGAAGAATATACAGGCTAACAAGTGCTGCAGTTGTTGCCTTTTTATCTGCTAGTTTGCTGCATGTTAATTAATTTTGTATCTGATACTTTTACAATTAGCTGCAAAATAAATTCACATATGGTCCAGGGACACATTTTCGTTGTCCTTAGTGTGGACAGTGTATAACTTGCAAATTTTTTTCATACACCTTTCAAATTTATTTCTTCATATTTTATGCATAAGATAGTAAGTAGGGGGATGAATTTTTTGGTAAAGTAGTGATTTGGTCCAGTTTGAAAAGGTAAAAAAATAGTATGGCTGAAGCTGTCAAACTGAATTACAGACCCCCCGTAACCCAAAATTGTCCATATTTTGAGCCGATAGACTATTCTATAATTTTGACATAATTTGTTCCAAAAGTAGTATACTACACTGTAAACAATTTTTTGGATAGAGCAGGTGAGATTTTTTTTATTTGCGTTTTTTGTCTAAAAGAAATACACTATGAAATAACTGTTCTTGGGCCATATATCAGCATTGTGAAACCATGCCAAACTTGGAAATTCAAATTAATGGATAAAGCACCTTTGTTGATAGCCAAAAGCTAGTCTCATGAGGAATTTATTTTATTTAAACTCTAAAGAAGAAGACTTAATAGCAGCAACTTTTTAACTTTTGATGTCAGTTCCCCTTTTATGAAAATAATACTTGCCATTGCAAAATAAAAAAAATGATAAGTTTTATTTGATTTGTATCTGGTTTTGGATATTTAATTTATAATTCAAATTAAAATTTGTTTTTATTATGCTTTTGAAATCCTGAATTATTTAGACATTGACTTACTTGGCTTTTGCAACAAAATGTATATAAATCTTTATTTTATATTATGCCTTGCTATTATTTGCTTTATTTGTTTTTCTTTTACTGGGAGAAAAACTCAGTGACAATACGGTGAATAGAATAAGAATTATTTATTCGTTTGTAGCACATCTTTTGTTTGCTTTTTGATGTGTCTGTTTTTCTGTTGTTTTTTTTTTTTGTGTGCCTGCATTGACCTTTGTTTGCTTGCAAAATAAAACAGTGCTTTTAAAATTCTCTTAATTTAACTGGAAAGGAAAATTAAAAATTGCACTTTTTAAAACACATTCTTGTTTGTCTCGTTCAACATACACTACTGCTAAAATGGAAGTTGTTTTTTCCACTTGTTCACCAACTCTTGGGAAGCTAACTCCTGCCGCTTACATTCAACCTCAGATTTTTTAAAAGATATTCTAAATGTGTAATGTATGTTCAATTATTATTAGAAGTGAATGAAAAAGTTTATTTTATTCTACCGCCTTGAAATTTTGCCTACTCTGCTTACTTCCATCATTGATTGATGGAGATGTCAAAGTCCACTCAAACTGTAGTGTACACCCCTATCCAAGAAGTGTTTGAATGTACAAACCTTAAAGTTTTATATTCACGATTCAAGTTTTAATCCTTCATATTTGCATGGACACAGCTGATTGACCTTAATAGCTTAGTCTTGTTCAGTTAAATATACCATGAGCCATCTTAAAAAAAGGTTATGTCTTCTGTGGCACAAACATTTATAAAAGTTAGAATTCCATGCAAAATTTACTTTTTTAGTATTTTGTAAACTACTAGTGTGGCTGTCTGAGGACTTAGAATGGTTAAAGAGAGATAACTCTTATTGTATATTTGACTTGTGCTGAATGGCACAATACGTTTGATCCATATCATTTCCATTACTAGAGATACTCTTTTACTATACACTGATTTCTCACATCTGCTTACTTCCATCATGGATTGATGGAGATGTCAAAATCCACTCAAACCATGGTGTACACCCCTATCCAAGAAGTGTTTTAATGTACAAGCCTTAAAAAGCTTGATTGAAATCATACTGATGAAGCAGTTTTTTGTTGTTGTTGTTAAAAGTAACCACAAGCTAACTTTAGCTTACTTTACCAGAGAGGTCAGGAAAGAGTCAATTTGATTGAAATACAGATTCTTTGTCCATTTTTTGTTTACAAGTTTATGCTGTGATTTTTATTACCTCAACCAGGGAAAATTTTGCCCCCAAATTTTTGAAAGAATATATCATTAAGACAAAACTTGAAAATTCCTAAAGGTCTTCTAAACAGAAAGTGAAACAACACCATATTTCAGTTCCTTGCATTGTAAGTGAAGCTTGGACACAGGATCTGTATCTAAATCAGATTGGGAAAGGGTATAGATAAAAATATTCATACCAAAGGAGGTGTTGTTAACTAACAGGTCAATTTTGGAATAGTCATATCAATTAGTAACATCATTACAAAACATTTAGAGTACAGCTTTTCAGCTGATTTAAAAAAATAATTATAATTAAATTTATAAATGGCTTCCTTTTCACCATTTTGTTTTCTTCGTTTTAACAGATTTTGAATGTTAAGTTCAAATTTGGGGTATTTTGATAATTTTATATTTTGAATTGATAATCCTCCTTTAACTTTTGAGAATAATGTACTTTAGTATTCAAATACATGTATGGGAAAGGATTGGTTGAAGTAAGTAGGAAAGGGGAAGGAAGGGTGGGGTGGTAGGAATAGATAATGTTAATGGGGCAAGAGAATCCCTTCAAGTAAAATAAAAGTCTCATGGAACTGACAAATTTTGGCCAAATAGCAGGAGAGGAGTTGGTTCACTAACTCATAATTTTGGCCAAAAAATATGAAAACATGATTTATTTATTAGTTGTAATTGGCCTCAGAAACTAGCTTTCAGTAACTACAAGTACTCTTTTTTTCAGTGCTTTGTGTCTCTTACCTATTTTTTTAGTTGCAAATTGCAACTGACTATTACAGTTTGGTCTTATGTTGTGCTGTAACACCCCTGTTCCATGTTAAGGGAGGGTTGAGTGCTCACAAACATGTTTAACCCTGCCTCATTCTTTATGTGCCTGTCCCAATACTGTAGTACAGTGGTTGTTGTTGGTTCAGGTCTGTCATACATGTACTAGTATTTGTTTTTCGTAAATTGTTTTGTTGTAAATTAGGCCGTTAGTTTTCTCGTTTGAATTGTTTAACATTTTTCATGTCAGCCCTTTTATAGCTGACTATACAGTATGAGTTTAGTTTTTCTCATTGTTGAAGGCATCACAGTGGCCTATAATTTCTTGCTAGTACCACTTCATTTTTACTCTGTTGAAGGTGGTACTGTGACCTATAATTGCTTACTACCACTTCATTTTAACTCTATTGGATAGCTGTCTCATTGGCAATTATGCCACATCTCCTCATTTTTATATATATCCAAATAAAGTTTTCTGAACTCTAAAACAACTTCTCTCACTTTTAAGCTCTAGATCCACTACTGATGCAATATTTTATTGAACGATAATAATGTAAAAAGAAATTGTATACATGTGTATTTTTGTGTTATAAAGAATAAAAGTATTGAGAAATGGTTTTATTTTTTTTTGGGGGGGGGGGGGGTGGGGTTGGTGAAATTTTAATGTGTTTGGAAGGGGGTCTTGGATTTATTTTCCTTCCTAAAATGGGGACAGGAAAAAAATTCGAGAAATTCTACTGTTTCCTCCCATTCCCCCCAATGAAAGAAAATGACCAGTCCCTTATAAATTAGTACATTTATATATCTGTCTAGGGTAAAAGACTTGCCACAGTAGGAAATGCAGTGCCAGAAAATGAAGAGGAACATGAAGTCAGTGATTAGGATGAAACAGCTGAAGTACAGGATGCAACTTCACAGGAGAAAGAACGGGCACCAAAGAAAAAGTCCAAATTGAAGTTATCTCCCAAATTCTCAGCAATTGTTCTGAATGAAGGCTGTCAGCTGTAAAGGAATAGAGGAAACAAAGGCTACAGGTAGGATTTTATTTCAGTTCATGACAGGAAACCGCCAATATTTACGCTACAGTCATTTCCATCTGCCTATATCTTTTGGCAAACTGCTACTGGCCTCATGCTTAACCTGATATTTTTGTAATGATATTGAATTTAAAATATTAACTCATTTTTCATGTTATTGCTTGCCCAATTTTCATAATGAAATAAAAAGAATTGAATGTCCAATTTGTAGGTTGGGCACAGATGACCATCTAGAAAATTTGCTCACTTTACCCATTTACCTTGCAGGTGGATGGAAATGACAATCACCAACTAACCTGTAGTGTGCTAAATTCACCACGTTTGTAATCAACTTTTCCGGTTTGACCAATGTCAAGGGAGATAACTCTTTAAGAATCAACTGAATTGTTTTGTCAATAATTTTAACAGATTACTTCCCAGCTTTCAAGAAACACAGATTATTTTAGTTGTTTTTGTCATGAATAATTATAACTCATAGCTGAAAGAGACTATTTCTAACACATATGTTCATAAGAATCCATTTTTTTTTTTTAATTTGACAGATAGCAATCTTAAGGAATTGTAAGATTATTAATTTATTTCCAAATAAAATGCAACATTCATGACTGCATGAGCTTTCTATGACAACTTCACAACAATGCATAGGGAATATAAAAAAAGCTTGATATAACTGGTAATTTCATGTTTGCAACAAAAAAATGCAGTTATAAGAATTAGATTTTTCTTTTTGTAATTTTAATGGGTTGTAAAAGTGTTGATTGTGCACACATTTTTAGTAAACACTTCATACAAAATTGTGTTGGTAAATGCTTTTATACTTCAATAAAAATTACAAAATGAAGCAGTCAATTAAAAAAAAAAATAGTTACCTCTCTTTAACCAAGAACTACCCTCTTTAGATCTGATCTTTTAGTTAACTCAAGATAGGAATAGTAGTCAGACATGAAAAGAAGATCTTACTTGCATTGAAATAGAATATATGAAAGATTTTATTTCATTTACAGAAAAAAAAATGTATTCTTATTTTTATTTATTTTTTAACAAGATTTAAATATTATATCTTTCACAAGTTTTTGAGTATTAGATTCAACCTACCATTTTATAAAACTGATTTCATTGTTGCTAGTCTCTAAAAAGGATGTCAATTAGAGAAGCCAATATTATTGGGACATTGATTTGAGAACAACAAAAAAAGACGCCTATTACAGGGGTATATTAAATTGGTCCTAGATTTGGAATCTTCTTTTATTTTGATGTCAGATTTGGATGTCAAGTTGAAGAATGGAGGTCGATTAGAGACTGGACATCAATCTAAGTCCTACATGTGTATATATATTGATTCAGTTGTGGTGGTAAATAGACTGTGATAAGTCTGATAACATTTTTTTAGTTTTGAAAATTTGTTCACCTGTTTACTATGATTAGGTGGAAGTATGTTCTTATTTCAAAAAGAGGGGCACTCAGCATATATTAATTTGTGCATGAATCAATAACTACTTGCTAAGGACCAAATGTTTTTACCACATTTTTGTATAAGTTTTAACCCGGGTACGCACATATAATATAAAAAATTTACATGTCTTTTTCAGGTTTTCTGATCTATGTAGTTTGGCATGTTTGTTAGATCATTGATGTGGTTTTGAAGGGCCTCTATTACAAAGTATATCACTGGATTGAGCTCTTTGTCTAAGTGTATTATTACAGTTCTTTGCTTTGAGCTCAGTTCATTGTTATGCAAATGCCTTCTTTGTGAAATAAAGATTTGACAGACAACTCGCATCTGCACACGAACTGTAAGGTAAGATGATTAAAACTGTCAGCACAAGGAATTGTTGAAGTAGCATCCATTCAATGTAAGTAGTAAGGGGAGACTAAAGCATTTTATTTACATTTGAACCAAACATTTTTTGTCCAGAAGACAAATAAGAAAAAAGCACAAATTTACCAAACAATGCTACTTGTGCTACTAGCAATATGATGCTAGGTGGTTTTGTAACATTTTTTTCAAACATCTGTACTGCCTACTGACGAGTCCTGAGTGTAAATGGTTATTCACTTATACATCATGTTTATTTGTGTCAAAGAAAAGGACAAAATTCACAAGGCCTTATCGATTTCTAAAATTATCTTTCATTGTTCAACATTTATCATTAATTTGTTAATTTCTGAATTTGTGTAAATGTACAGCCCTTTTCACTTTTATACCACAACAAAACTGCATCTTACTGTACCGGTATCACTTATATTTTTATCCATATAACAAAAATCCAATAATAATTTTGCAATACCTTTTTCATTTCAAATGCTAAAAAATCATAGTTCATATTTCTTCAAGTGTACACTATTTGTCATAATTTATTTCTAGAAATTACAGTAAGAATCATAAACAAATTCATTGGATTTACCAAGTTATTATACCCCACACAACAAAGTAAATAAGTATAATGTTATTGACCCGTCAGTCTGTTTGTCCATCAGTCCTGTTCTCTTCATCGCAACTCCTCTGAAACCATACAACAGAATTTCAGGAAACTTTGTAGATAATGAGAACATTTTATGTAAATGTTCATATCCACAAGAAGTTTTATCAGTTGACTTTTGTAGAAGTTATGAGTCTTTGAAGCATGCTCATAAAGGTTCTTTAATTGACATCATTTTCATACTGGTCAAATTTTTTATGCCCCCGCTGTAGCGGAGGGGGCATTAAGTTTTACCCTTGTCCGTCTGTACGTCCGTCCGTCCGTACGTACGTCCCAAAGTTGGTTTCTGTTCTCGAACTTTAGTTTGCCTTAACCAAATGTTATGAAACTTATACATAATGCTTATTACCACAAAACACAGATCAAGTTTGAATTTTGGTGGCGTCACTTTAACCGTTCTAGAGTTATGCCCCTTTACAAATGGAAAAATTGCTGAATTTTTCGTTTCCGTTCTCTAACTTTAGTTTGCCTCAACCAAATGCTATGAAACTAATTCATAATGCTTATTACCACACAATACAAATCAAGTTTGAATTTTGGTGGCGTCACTTTAACCGTTCTAGAGTTATGCCCCTTTACAAATGGAAAAATTGCTGAATTTTTCGTTTCCGTTCTCTAACTTTAGTTTGCCTCAACCAAATGCTATGAAACTAATTCATAATGCTTATTACCACACAATACAAATCAAGTTTGAATTTTTGTGGTGTCACTTTAACCGTTCTAGAGTTATGCCCCTTTACAAAGGAAAAATTTGCTGAATTTTTCGTTTCCGTTCTCTAACTTTAATTTTTTTGAATTTCGACCTAGCCTTGGAGAAGACATTTTCAAAGAAAGAACTAAAATAACACAGAAGTGAACTTTCTAATTCATCTAGCCCCAAGCGTCATGCCAGGTAATGTAAAACTAAGTATTAGATAACGACACTGCTAATTTTTAGTGTTTGGTACAGGTAGGCTGTCACTTGTGCAACACAGTTTAACATAGAACCCTATGGGAAAAACAGAGAACTCTTTTTGTCAGAAAACACTGTCAAACATTCAAACATACTATCCATACTTGTTTATTTTTTCAAAATTTATATTTTTCAGACTGAATGTTTGCAAAGTGTTTAAAATAATAGAACATGACCCAGAAGGACTGAACAAACTGACACAGAAACTGTTTGTCCGTACTTACCCTGCTGGTTCCAGAACTGACTCCAGCAATTTTAATCCTACACCAATGTGGAATGTTGGATGCCAAGTTGGTAGGTTAAGTAGTAGAGAAATTGTTTGTCTAATTTTCATTATTTTCTTGGTAGACAATATCAAAATGTATCCTACCTGAATATTTCACTGTTTATTTACATGTTGTACACAGCAAAAGTTTTACTTTCCCATCTAATGAATCAACCATGAACAAGCCACATGCAAAAGTAACCAAATGTATGGTAACACAGATTTGTTAAGACAGTTTTAATTTTCATCTTTAGTAATAATTACATGGAGATTTTTTTTTAATTAGAAGTCTCAGTATGCAGCAAGGGACCAATAGATTCAGAAATATAACTTATTCAAAACATGATCAGACATTCAAAATTTTGAACCAAAAGATTGCACTTGCATGGTGACAAAATAATCTTTAATATTGATCTCATTTGTTTATAACCCTGTAAAGCAAGTAGAAAAAAATAATACATATAGTAAGCTTTTAATGTTGAGAAATGATTGCAAAATTGAAAGTTTGCAACAATGTTCTATCTTAAGTATGAAAATATATGGCATACAGTAATAAACTGAAACTATTATCCTTAAATGATTTAATTTTTGGTTTTGTTTTATTTGCCTTGAATTTCCAGACAGGTGGTGAACCTTTACAATTGAATCATGGGAAATTTATGGATAATGGAGGTTGTGGATACATACTGAAGCCACAGTTCCTTTTGTTAAGGATGTACTAAGGTCAGGTTTATGAATCTTTGTCAGATGTTCGGACTTCTTGGGTTTTTTCCTACGATACAGGGTAAAATAATTTGCCCCATATCACCCACTGTTCTTTTCATAAAAGACTTCAATAGCTCATAAAAAGGTCATTACCAAAATTTAAGCAGATTCAAGATTTTTTTCCTTACGATTTGAGACCCAAATAATGCCAATGCTAAATATAAGGTAAAAGTCCAAGTCAGCCTTTTACCACCATTTTTTTTAAATCAAATATCGCAAAAAGGAGTTCCATAACCTATCAATATTTTTAGCTTATTTTTTTCCTTTACTAATGCACTTCTGATTTACAGTATCAATTTTAAATTCTAGATTTTTTTAATTTCAACTAACTACATCCTTAAGTAAGTAATTTAAAAAAAAAAGTTAGTTTGTTTAGTTAGCTGCTTCATTGTAGAAGTTAATACTATCTTATCATGAATATGTCCAAATAAAAAATACTTGTGTTTAGGGTCTACCCTTTTTTTAATGCCATAAAATGCCTAATCTGATTAAAATACAGATCATATGTTCATGCTTTGCTCCTA